CCCCCCCCCCGGTCATGTGAACTGAGTTTTACAAAGCATACAACACTAACAGTAAGAGAGGAAGACACTCAAAGTATAAATATATTCCTCAGCATAACAGAATGAGGAAGTGTTTTCAACTAGAACTGGTTTGGAGGAAGAACTGTTAAAAATTCCCCATGTTGTGAAACAGGTTTGTTTTCCAGTAAGCCATTAAACATTGCTTTGATAATAACATATAACACAAATAATGATGTATATTTAGATATTACTGATATTTAAATTTGCTTGATGTTGTGGAAACTGTTGACGAAACTGATGTTCTAATAAAGCAATTTTATGCTTTCTCACTGGAGACTGTTCACTCTCAAGTTTTCCACTAGCTCTACTTCACCTGTGTTAATGCATGGTTATCTATAATGCCTGCGTATAAGAGAATGTATATGTGTGTACTTACATACATATAAGTATACGTACTTACACTTTACCTTTGATGCTATAGACGAGGGGACAATCTCTTCCCGAAGAATCCTGATAACACAATGCGTTATGATTACACTGATTACAAAGATACCTGGAAGGCTATGGAGAAGCTGGTAGAAAAAGGTCTTGTGAAAGCCATTGGGCTGTCAAACTTCAACAGCCGTCAGATCGATGATGTACTAAGTGTGGCTACTGTCAAACCAGCTGTGCTCCAGGTAAGGTGAATAAAGGAGAGGACGAATACCTTTCCTGTGTGTCCATAAGAGCGAAGAATTTGCAAACCAATGCTACATGTTTAGCACAAGGAGCGCAGCTTCTGATGTGCGGGGAAGAGTACAGCCAGCTCTGCAGCAGCAGGCACACAGAGGTACTCTTTCCAGGCGTACTAATTTGTTGGGGAGGAGGCCTGTATCAGTGTTCTGTGGCCTTTTATGCCTGCTTACTTGAACAGGTCTGTGGAAGAGTTCATCTTCCCTGTGAGGAACAATTTTGCCTATAAGAAAGTCAGACTCGGGGGGAGGAACTTGAATTCATTCTGTAGAGAGCTTCCTTGCTTGTTGGATGATCTGTTTGGTACATGGGGAAAACCCAGCACTCTGAACTTTGGCGATCTATTCTTCTTTTCCTGGAAACTTAGCCTACCAGATACTTTTTCATTCTTTCCTTAAAGCTTATCCTCATAAGGTTTTGCAGAATCTACAGTGACCTCCTGTGATGTGTTTGGTTCTGCTATGTTTTTGACTTACTGTTTGTTTAGAGTTTCGTGTTGACATCTGTTCTCTAGCCACTCATTGTGCATCATTTTAATAGGTAGAATGCCATCCTTACCTAGCTCAGAATGAGCTGATAGCTCACTGCCAGAAACGAGGACTGGTTGTTACTGCCTACAGTCCCCTTGGTTCTCCAGATCGCATGTGGAAACACCCAGATGAGCCTGTGCTTCTAGAAGAACCTGGGATCAAAAAACTGGCAGAAAAATACAGCAAGTCACCCGCACAGATCATCCTCAGGTACAGGACAATTGTGAGAGGGGGTGGCGTTTGGGACCCGGCCTTAAAGCAGAACATGCAAGCTGGAAGGAATCTGCTTAAAGTGCATGTTCTTCCCCATCGGTGGGGAGTTAAAATTGCAGGGAGTGCCAAAATCAAACCCCACTTGGTGCTTGTTTTACAGGGTTGATAGAGTTGATCCTGCCTTAGGGCAGGTGGATGGACTAGATCAGGGGGGTCCATTCAGAGCCTGGATCAATACCTGGGACAGTTCACTACCTTTTTCGCTGTGCAATAGCAGTAGGACAATTAAGGCAGCAGTGTGCCACATTGGAGTGCCGGGTGCTGATTTTGCCTGTGGCCAGTTGCTTGAACCCTTAAGCTCTTGCTGCTGCATTCAGACGGGCTCCCAGGAAGAGGAGCTGAGGAAGGGATTTTCCTTCTTCTCACTGAAGAACTGTTTGCTGTTTTGGTTTTATATAGCAAAAGCCAGCTACTGGATGCTGGGAAACAAGATGATTGAGTGATATCCAGAATGTGATCAGCACCTTGTAAAGTAAAATTTGATTTCTATCCTCTCTTTTTTTTCTTTTGTCTGTCTCTGTATCTGTCAATATCCCTAGTACTACAGTCTTGGGCAGCAGCAAGTTACCCTGTCAGCTGAACATGTTCAAGACTTGGTGCTCAAGCCACTAGACAGACACTTGAGGGATCTGGATTTTCTTCTAGTGTCTCAGTGGTTGTCATGTTAGAACTTGCGTTAAATGCTTAAGTACGTTTTTCTGACTGTTTCTTGGGTTTCTATCTTAAAGCACCTGAAACTTGCTTGGTTGTTCAAATGCATGAGCATCTTCCTCTCATTGATTAGTCCAGTGGCTACTGTCTTGCTTGAGCTTGGACGTACTAGGTCCTAATACAATACAGTGCTGTGGCAGCCCTCTTCTGGGTATTTTTCACACAGAAACATAAGCGGTATCGCTGATGCGACAGATTATTATTCAACCAAAATAAATATCGTGGTTCTTGGTCGGCATGCACAGAAAATCTCTCTCCTCCTCCTCTTCACAGATGGCAAGTGCAGCGCAAAGTGGTTGCCATTCCCAAGAGTGTCACTCCGGCTCGCATTCAGCAGAATCTCCAGGTAAGTTTAAATGGAGGGAAGGAGTTTCAGCGGTGCCCTTTCATATGAGTAATGTACTGTCCTACCACTTGCAGAACAACAGGTTAGGGCACTTGGTTCATACTTGTTCATCAGTGTACGCATACGCTTAGAAGCGAGGGTAAAGATTTTTGGAAAACAAACTTGATATATTTTAAGCAACTAAGTGTGTGAGTCTGTGCATATGTGCACATGCACAGTCTTGTTATCAAAAGGTAAAGAATTTGCTTTATAGAAGTTAAATGAAGCAATCTTCACTGAAATTTATCTGAGATACAAATTTATTGAACACAGGAGTCTTCTAATGATGCTCAATGGTTCTTATTTATGAATAACAGTTGCTCTACTCTGCAAGTGAGGGCTGGTGACTGTTTCTGCAGCAGTGTCCTTCTGATGGTGCTGAAGGAATAGAATTAGTGTGATACATTTCTGCTCTGAAGTAGAAACAGCTCATGTTAAAAATTATTTAAAAACCGACTTCCAATAATTAGGAGGGAAGTCTCTGAATCACCCCCCATGATATTTTTTTTTTCCCCCAGCCCTTGATCATACAAATGGGTTGGTTACATGTTGTTAAGATAGGGCTTGGTTTCATGAGAGTAACAGTTAACAGAAACAAGTTTGGCCATGCAGCTAGAAATGTCAAGAAACTCCAGTAAACTCTGCAGTTACTTGAGGTTTACATTTACATGAGAACAGAATATTTGATTGAATAGGCAGCATCTACTTGGAGGAACAGTCCTGCTGCTTTTTATCTTTGTGGAAGAGTGCTATGCAGTATCAGTGTAAGCTTAGAGTTGGCAAGTGTATGAATACCTCAGGCTTTAAGCCTGTGTTTTGGTGTCTGTTATAAAATTAGTTTAATTGCAGGTTCATGTTTATTAACAGAAGACAAACTAATGCTGTCCGAAACCAAGATTTTCACAGATACATAAATTCTATTGATCAGAGTTGCATGGAAATTCCCACTATTTGAGGCTCAGATTTATCAAAATTGCCGTTTCTGGAGGTGTTTTGAATATTACAAGTTCCATTATGTTTAATTTACTTGGGTTTTAACACTAGAATCTTGCAACTCTAATATAGCACATAGGCTTTCTTTTTGAAGGTGCAAAAGAAATACTGTGCAACCACAGCTTAATAAATTTTTCCAGTCTCGTGTGTGTGCGTGTGTGTGTGTGCCTCAGTTACAACTGTGTTGTTGCATTGCCATCTGAAACTAAACACTGAAATAGTCACCAATGTCTCAGGTCACTGCTGCTGTTCCATTCTGTCCTGGGTTATTGAGAAATGGAACCTTTTTGCCTTTAAATCAGCTCTATTGCTTGTGGATCTCTGGAAAAATTCACAGCACAAGGGGATGGTTGTGACTTTACAAAGGAAACAAAACCAAGAGGCAAAACTCAACATCAATTAAATATGAAGAACCTATGGTTATTGAATGAAGCCACTTGGTTTTGTTCTCAGGTGTTTGATTTCAGCCTCACGGAAGAGGAGATGAGCCACGTTCGAAGCCTGAATAAAAACTGGCGTTACATTGTGCCAATGATAACGGTAAAGTTCTCGTTTCTAGTAATTTTTATTATGTGCATGTAGCCACAACTTGGGGGTTTTGCCATTTTCTTTCTTTTACTGTCCCTGTCAGAACTACTGACGCATAAGAACACTACATCTTCTTAGGGTATCTAAGAGAGAATTTTTAAAAAGCTGGATACAAGGAAGGTAACTTCCTGAAAACTTTTCTCCTCTGTCTTGGCTCTCTCAAGTTCTTGTTATTGTAGATGTACATGGATCTTTAAGCCAGAGTCCCATCTTACTTCAAATCTAACCAAACTCCTGCTGATTTGTTGTTCTCCTGTACGAGCAGGCTAAGGTCCATGCCATTCCTCCAGGAGTACTCCTTGTTCCAACTGTTTCTGTCTGCTTTATACCATAAACCTCTAAGAGCAGTGAACACTCAGTTCTCCACATCCATCGTGAAAGTCACATGAGGGAATTTGTCTGTTCCCCTCCACTGGATATCCCCCCCTTTCAGCATCTGTTGTAATAACCTTCCTCCCGTGTAAGGAGTTAGGCTTAGGCTGTTGTCTTTTTGTTCCCAAATCCATTAGCCGCAGCATCGTATAGCATCAGTAGTTTATTCTGTCACGTGAAACCTTACCTCACATGTGATCAGATGCCAGTCTGTTTTTAGAGAAACCAATGCCTTGTAAGTGTTGAAGTCTACTTGGTCGTTCTTTCCTTGTATTAAAGGACCTAACCTTGTTCCTTTCCCCTCCTGCAAAAAAAAAAAAAAAAAAAAAAAAAAGTCAATGCCTTGTCTCCTGGCTCTTGCAGTGTTCCTAATTTTTGTTGTCCTGCTTCTGACTGTACAACAGAGAGCTGTTGCCATTCCCTGGTGCGTCACTGACCAACATATGGCAGCTGTGCTATAATGAGTCTGAAGTGCTTCATCCCTGCTCTGTCATACAGTACACTGCTTAGATACACTAGATCTCTCTGCAAATTTGGAAGCTGTCAAGCATACCCTCGCCTCTCCAGCGGTTTGCCTGCCTGTAAATTATTCTTCAGTAGTCAGTGGCTACTGGCTATAAGAATTCTTTGGGGAAAGCTTTTGTCCAGGATTTATTATTGAGATTTTCTGAGTACTTGAGAGCGTATCAGTGACTAGTCTGAGTTAGAAAAGAGAAGTTGTGAATGCGTGGTGAGTTACTGTCTCCTATCAAGGGTAGATCCTTGTTACAGCTTTCACTTGTTGTCCTGCTGGAGCTTAGGAGAGCTTCAAGGCCATGCTTTTAACTGTGGGTTTGCTTCAGTATGTGTGTGTAAATATAAACCCCCGCATCCCTGCAACCAAGATTATCTGGGTGCTTACAGATCAGGAGTCCATATGCCCAACTGCAAGCGTAGCTGCTTGTCTGTGTGACTGTGGTAGTGACAAGCAACACCTGCTGCTGACAGTGTGTTCCTTTCAAGTGTTTTGTTACTTGTGCTGAAAACAAAGTTTTTTGGTAATGAAACTGCAGAGTATGTTAGAACGTAGCCTGGCTTGGATGAGCCGGGGAGAATTCATTTGGTTTTGTTACCTGGGCGACCTGATCAGATCAGTGATTCACAAAGCAGAGATGAAATACAGTTCAAAGTGCTAGCCCATCCAACTAGAAAAAGGGCGAATGTGATGCAGCTGGGCTTCAAAGATACTGCCTTATTGTCAGGTAACAAGACAGGAAAAGGCAAGATGAGAACTGAAACACGACTCTGTAGCTGTAAGATCTGTAGCGGAATCTTTTGTCTCCTGCCCATTCGTTCTGGGCTTATCAGAAAGAATTTTCATCAACTTTGAATTAAAATTCCTGCCTAACCTTTCATGCCTATCTCCTCTATGAATCTAACTTATGGTGTCTGGATTTCAGTGTGATATGGCAGTGATATCAGAGCTCCTGTCATAACTGGCGAGACAGTTTTTTCTTGCTTTACCTCATTGATATATAACCATAAGTTCTTATCGTTGGGCCACTCTTCTCCACATTGTGTTTTTGTTTAAAGCCTGAGGAGAGGCTGTTATGTTGCATGAGGACGATATAAGTTGCTTTATACTTTTAACAGCTCATTTTGTGGATAGAGGTTGGTAATTATTCAGCCATACCTTACACCAGCCTGAAATCGAAACTTTTGGAAACACATAATTGGCACTGAAGCAAAACTTGCATGACTAGCAAGCCAGGAGAGGAGGAGTGATGGTGTTGTACACAGGATGATCTGTCTATTTTTGATAGTTAGCTACCGTTGACCTGCAATGTGTTCACTGCTGATTTTACATCCCCCCACCCCTTCTCTCAAATTCCTGGGGTAGACTGGAATCAGCTATGTGAAACATTGCTTCTGGCAGCTGCTGTCTTGGCATGCCGTGAACGAGAATGTTTACCTGAAGAGCTGTTCTGTGTAGCGAAATATGCAGGGGGAAGAAACTGGGGGGAAAAAAAGAGGAATAAGAATTCTAGGAGCATGAGGAAGTTGTTGGCTCTGAAGAGAATATGAGGAAACCTGAAGATGCTGTGACACTTTTGTCCACGGTTTTAAGGATTGCCTTCAGTTGACAGCTTAATTTCAGCTTTGTTTTGTTTTGATCTGAGCATCAGTCAAATACTGAACCTTAACATCTTAGTTTTCTGCTCTGTAGTGCCCCCAAGTGACTAATTTCACACTTCAGTAATCTTCACAGTAAACGATTCAGTGCTAGGGATGCCAGTCGTTGCTTTGAAAAGCAGATTTTAGACTGAAAGCTAATAGAGGGACTTGCTAGTGGATACTTGGTTTGAAAGTCTCTGTAGTTCTCTCTGTCTCTGTAACATTTTGAATGATCTCTAACATCACATTAATATAAAAATCACATTTATATGTATACAAATCAATTATTTCTCTAGCATAACTTTTATTCAGTCATTAGTCACTTAATGTAAGTTTTAGCTGAATGATGCTAGTCTGTCACCCAGGGAGGTGTGTATCTCTTTGCCAGTGCTGCACCTAAATTTCCCCAAACATTACAGATTAGGAGCAAGTTTTTACCTCAGCTCCTCAGAAGTTGGGAGTGTTGCAATGGACTTTAATGGAACTAGAAATGCAGCTTGTGCATCTGAATGCTAAGAAGTGGGACTTCTACATGGCCACATCTGCTTTTGGGCCAGCCTGAGCCTGGCTGTTTCGGTCTGGTCTTCCATGGAAATGTTCTTGAATAAAAAGTGCTATGAAGGAGTTCGGGGACGCTATTAGTGCTTCAGTGTATGACCCTGAACAAGTTATTCAGTGTGTTTCATCTTGTCCATCTGTAAAAGCAGCAGCCCGGCAACTCTCTACCATGGAAACACTGGCAAATCTCCGACTCCTTAATCAAGTGTTTTGAAGTGTGCGTGTTACAACACTTACTCACTAAAGGCTACAAGGCAAAAGGCTTTTAACTATTTTTAACCTAATTCTTCAAGTCTCAGCAGCTTGAAAGACTCCTGCTCTAGGCTACAGAAATCTGTCTTTTTAATTTTTTTTTTAATTATTTTTCTTTCAAGAAGTGCTAAGAGGACTCAGGGGTAGAGGGAACAGCTCTTGTTTAAGCTGAAGAAGACACTCTCAGATGTTTGGGATATGAAGATTTAGAAATCTAAACCATTCAGAGTTTGAAACTGAGAAAAAGAATGGATTTTTATCTTTCTGACTTGAGTCTGTCTGTTTATTTCACAGGTGAATGGAAAGCTAGTAGCAAGAGATGCTGGACACCCATATTACCCCTTCAATGACCCCTATTAAGTGCTAGAAAATAGAATAACATGCTCCTCTGTATGCCTTTCCACGAAATGATTGTTGCCGCAATTTGTCAAAAAATCTATCCAAGTAACACCTTCCTTCCTTAATAGGTTTACTTACAATGTACTGCTTCTAACTGACTTCTCGATACTGTAGCTTCCATGTCAAAGTTTGTGGATTTATTACAATGACTGCAAGCTTGCTCCCGGAAGCATCGAATCTTTCCTAGTTTAGATAACGAGTTGGGGAGCTTAACTCAAGTTCAAAATATGTCCTTATCTGGTTAGGGCAATACTTTGGGTTTACTGCCTGCAAAACAGTTCTGAAATCTTTAGTAATTACCGTGAGGGGGGGGTGAAGGCACGAAAGCATTTGCAGACTAAACAGCTGCTCAGCCTTCAACTTTGATATCTTTACTAAAGGGAATAAAGTGAAATGTGCTATAGTTGCACTATGTCCATAAACCATTCATTAAAACCCAAGTAACCAGCCCTGCCCAGTGCTTTTAATCTACTTCAGAGTACTTGCAGGACTTAGAATTCTCTGTTTTCTTTTTATTTCAATTTGCCTGTGAATTTGAGGAGAATAAATGCATACCCTGGAGCAGGCCTTCAGGGCAATCCTCTGTTGCTTGTCGCATGGCTAGGTTTCAGCTCTGATGATAACTCTGATCGTCCTGTCACAAAAGCCTCAAGAACTTTTTTGCAAGTCTTGTAGGAAAACAGCCTGCTTTTCCAGTAAAGTTGCCCAGTGTCTCTTTACCACAGATGTCCAGTTTGGGTTCTGGAAGGTCACAAAATTAGTTCCTGACTATACCAGAAGAGGAAAGACCAGTCAGAGGGTCCCTTCCATTTTAATGTTGCATTTTTGACTGCTGTCTGGGCTGATGCTTGGGAGAGCTGATCCTGTCTCCTCTTCTGCTGCTGACCTGCTGGTAACACACGGGGCAAGCCATTCGCCTTCCTTGTGCCTCTGTTTTCCCACTTGCCATGTCTCTGGCAGGGACTAATTTACTGAGCGCTGATACACTGTTGAGCAGGACTGGAGGTCTAGCTCTAACAACAGTTTGATTTTGTTTCAGTCCCTTATGAATCGTCTAGCCATCCCAGTACAAAGAGTGCAAGGTGTTAGTACCTACCAGTGCTCCGATGGTGATACCTTCTGTGGCTTTAGCAGCGTTAACACTGTATCTTGATTTTTCTCTACCTGTAAAAGAGGATTAATTCTTATTTGCCTTGGGGCAGACAGGGTAGCATGGTGGAGTTTCTGAAGGCCTCTCAGATTTAAAACGAAGGAACTCTCTCAGATCTGTTGATGCCATTCAGAGACAGCCATAGGCACAACTCCCTGTTTGCTGCTGGATAAAGACAGCTTGACTGGTGTAAGTGAAATAAAGAACGCTTATTTTTTATTTTTCCCATACCAATAACAAACATAGCATTAGAAAAATAAGTGTCTATTCAAATAGTTCAAAAATTAAAGAATTAGGTTGTTTTCATTTTGGTAAGCTGATTTACAGTAGGCCTGTAGTAAAACATACATTCATCTCAAGCGTGATGCCTGCTGGAGTATCTGCTGCCCCGGGCCCCACAGCGTGCAGCCGAACTGGAACAAACCTGTTTGTCACTTTGTAATCCTTACCTAAAGTTCGGATTCCTTACCAGACTGGATGTTTTCTTCTAAGGGAAATGAAATCCCTGTTGGTTCTTTATTACTGTAATCAAACACGGGTGACTTTGAATCCAGTTCTCACTGCAGATCAGTAGGGAAGCAGCGCTGCTTTGGAGGCGCTGGGTAGAGTGTTAGCAGCAGTCACCCTGCCAAGAAAAGCGGCTTTTGTTGCCTGTATTTCCACTTGTATGCTTGCGTGTCTTCAATAAATGCTGTACTCGGTCAGTGTGTGACTCCGGGACTTTCTCACCCCCTCTAATGAACTTTTTCTGGTAACTTTAATCGAGAGCAAGTAGGTGGGCAGGGAGTTCCCGAGGGCAGCAGGGGAGTTCTGTGTCTGTTCAACCTGCGGTGCCCCGCTCTGTTCCTCCGCGCAGCTGAGGT